TTTTAGGGTTACTTGTGATACTGTTCTGCAGGTAAATTAGTGTTCTTCATTCACTCTGAAGGAATGCCAATATCTGTTTCATCTGATGCTCAAGCAACCCCACAAGGATATAGCATAAGCCATGTACTTCCTTATACTCTTATAGAATAGACCAGGTAGTGTCTGTTAAAAAAGGAAAGAAAGTGCAGCGCTCATAAAGAAGTATGGTGTTGATGAATAACTCAGTGCTATAGCATTATAAAATGAAGATATGAATACAATAACTGGTTACTGTAAGTGAATAAGCACAACAGGTATTATAGGTGAGCGCCCTAAAACGGCGCTATAGTGAGGAAATTAATAATATAAAAATTGTGCCACGCTGAAATGACAGCGCAAAAGTGACAAAAAACTGTATCTTGACAGTAGGTGAACAATCAAGTAAATGTAATCAATGAAATTGAATGGTAAATAATTCCAAATATAAAGTCCAAAGGAAGTGATAATGTCAAGTGATGTGTGAATCCGTAACAAATCCTTCTTTATAATGCACTCACCAGAAGCGCATATTCATTGCACATTGAAATCAAAGGACTTTAGCTCCTCCATAGGTCAGCCTCATCCACCTCCATACACAGTATAAGAAATAAGCCTAGCAGGCATATACCAGCGTAGGAGATACTTCCACCATCAGCAAACCAAAAAGGGCTCCACCTTGAAGGGATCAGCTCAACAAATGAGCCTAGAAAGGAAAGCATGTATGGTGCAGTATTTTACTGAAAATTGCAAAGGCATCTGCAACGGAACCGGACCCCGATTGCGCTAGGGTATTACCGTTAGACTCCCGCTTCCCTGTCCACACACAGATCCCCGGACACCACCGCTGACCATTCCCCCGCGTCCCATCAGGGGGAAGGGCTGCTGGAAACACCCCCCCACCAAACCAAGACACACAATAGAACAAAGGGATACATCATGTGGTAGGAACACGTACATCCCATAATAGTTTGCTGGCAAGCAAGACACAATAGAACAATGGGATGCAGCACATGGCAGTGAACAATGGACAACCCCCCCCCCCCACCTATACATGTCTACACAATATCAGGACAGACCACCCTGTACCCCTAACAGGCACAGGGTGGGTTACACATAAGAGAAATCTGAGGAGCTGAGACAGGGGTGCCCCCACCCCCAAAAGTCACTCCCGTCACAGCATCCACATGGAGCAATAAAATAGCATGTATATTCCACTTACAAATATGGCCGCCGGACCTCCGTTAGGACATGGCGGCGTGACGTCAGTACGCAGGCTCCTCGCTGACACATTTCGTGTGCATGCACATTGTCAAAGGGATCGACCTCCTACTAGGTAGTGTCTGTGTTTGTCAAGTGGGCAAAGTACTGACGTGTTTCATCAAAGTAATATATTGACTTCCTCAGTGTATTTCTTTGAAAGCATTACCACTGAAACACAAAAGTGAAGGACACTCCTCTTCTGTATCCTGGAATATATTAACCCTTTCTAGAGTCCTGCAGCAACAACACAAAGAAGATGCAATCACACACACATCACCTGATTTGTCATCATGGCTCTTCTTTCATTGTGTTTCCAGTCACCTGAATATTCACTACCTAATACAAGTCAAATCAAATTAGAGAAATGGCTACATCTTAAAGAAACATCATCACTGACCAGATACTGTAGATCATGTTGGAATTTTGTGCTTTATGCAATTCACCGTTCTTGTTCATTTTACTCCCAAAATGTATCAATAATAAATCCTACACTCCAAAGACATACTGGTAGGTTAATTGGCTCCTTTCTAAATTGGCCTTAGTATATGTTTGAATGTGAGTTAGGGACCTTAGATTGTAAGCTCCTTGAAGACTGGGACTAGTGTGAATGTATAATATATGTAAAAGCACCATGTAAATTGATGGCGCTATGTACACTCACTGGCCACTTTATTAAGTACATCTTGCTAGTGCCAAGAAAATATCCCCCCCACCATTACTCCACCCGCCTGAACTTTTGGTACAAGGCATGATGGATCCAGGCTTTCATGTTGTTTATGCCAAATTCTGACCCTAGCATCTGAATGTCGCAGCTACCAGTCTGCCCATTCTCTTCTGACCTCTGACATCAACAAAGCATTTTCATCCACACAACTGATGCTCACTGGATATTTTCTCTTTTTCAGACCATTCTCTATATACCCTAGGAATGGTTGTGCATGAAAATCCCAGTAGATCATCAGTTTCTGAAATACTCAGACCAGCCCGTCTGCCACCTACAACCATGCCACATTCAAAGTCACTTAAATCCCCTTACTTCCCCATTCTGATGCTTGGTTTGAACTTCAGCAAGTTGTCTTCACCACACCTAGATGCCTAAATGCATTGGGTTGCTGCCATGTGATTGACTGATTAGCAATTTCTGCTACCAAGCAATTGAACAGGTGTACCTATAAAATGGCTGGTGAGTGTAAGTACCTGTAATAATATTAATAATAATATCCTTAAATGCCTCTAGATTCTTGGAGTTTTCAATAATTGGCTCTTGAAGCTTGTTAAGATGTATCTTCTCTACAAATCATCTTAATCACTTAAATACCATGATGTACACATTCTACTTTCCATTTATTAAGAAATCTTTCATTGTGAAGATGTTAAGCTGGAATTACTTGTTTCCCTGAACCCCTTGGGATCATTCTGACAATATATGAGACTCTAAAGAGCAAAATATTCTATTTCAGGTGCTCAGCCACTTGTGGAGCAGCAATGTACCTTCTATGCTGCTGGACTTTTGGCAGTTATACCAGAGTGATGCCTGCCAGAGTAATTGGGTAATGTATTGTGTTTTGTTGCACTAAAATTCAAAAAAGTTAATTTTTTTCCTCATAAAAATTGCATTTGAAAAACCCACTGCGCAAATACTGTGTGACATTAAAAAAAAAAATGCAGAAACCACCAACTTATTCTCTAGGGCCTCTGCTTTAAAAACAATATAATGCTTGGGGGTTCTAAGACATTTTCTAGGAAAAATATTGATTTTAACATATAAAAGTGCCAGAAATGGCCTGCAGCTGAAGTGATCAAATCTCCATGATTTGCTAACGGGTCATTCAACTTTTCTTTTTTTCTTTCCTCCCCATGGTTGACTTGTTTACAAAATGCAGCCTGAATCTCTTTGTCTATATAATTTCCTAAAACATAAGCCATATTTTAAGATCTACAGTATCTGAGAGAATCACTTAACCCAAAGGTAGGGGTAATTGTCCAACTTAGGTTATAGGGTACAAAAGCTGGCCATACACTAATAGAATTGTGTTTTAAATTTTTCATTTTAAACACATTCAGTTGATTTCCTAATCGTTAATAGGGTCAAATCAATGTTCATTTTAGGCTGCAGTGATGAGAAATATTGAAGGAGCAAGATGGAAAATTTCCAAATTTTAAAAAGTAAATATGGTTTTCATTCGGAAAATATGCTATTGTATGCCCAGCGGAGAAAAAGGAACTTCTCTGTTATCACCTTATAAATCATTCTAGAGATGATAAAAACAACCAAAATTGTTTTAAATTAAAGTCAGTGCTGCCAACTTATATAATTATAAACTAAGAAGAAAGGGTTTCTACAGTATTACAACATGTCAATATTTCATAATTATTAAAAATTCCTTATATCAAAAAGTTCTAAAAAAAACCCAAACATAATTAATTAACCACCATAAACGCCAAGTTGAAAAGATTATAAGTATGCTTCACGCACATTGATGGTTTGCTTATACAATACAGTTTTCACCCAAAAAACAATACAAATACAATACAGTAATTGATTTTCTAATTTGTATTCTGTCATACAAGAATTTTCGTAACTTTAGTCATTTCAAATTGAGACTAACATGCAAAAACAAAACGGATGATCATTCGTCTGATATTCTCATCATGTGTATGGAGCTTTAGGGTATATTGAAGTAAAGTGCTTTTGGTATATCCTTGCAGAGCGTCTTGGAGATCAGAGGAAACGGATATCAGCATTCTTTTCTGATGAATGCTACACACCCACTTCCCTGCAGCAGTGTATCACCAGCAATTTGGCTTTGGAGTTTTCATATATGCAATAAGAAGCTAAGTAAAAAAGTATGGATTGCTAGCAAATTGCAACATTGAGCATGAACTGATTCATACATGTGCGGTGTGGATTGAAGCTCAGGTTTCACAGCTAATTGATGTAGTTGATCAGCAGTTCATGTCAGGTTTTCAACAGGCTCAAGACAGGATTAGCCCAGAATTTTATCCTATTCACACATATGCGGTTTAGAAACGTTCCCAAAGAAGTCAATAGCCTGTGATCCGCACCAGAAATCATACATGACTCTTTAAAACTGCACTGAATCTGCACCGATAGTGCACTGGATATACAGTATGTGAACAAGCACCATAGAAAGCAATGTTATTTCAATATGGAGTTGGCCCTCCTTTGCAGCTATAACAGCTTCAACTCTTCTGGGAAGGCTGTCCACAAGGTTTAGGAGTGTGTCTATGGGAATGTTTGACCATTCTTCCAGAAGAACATTTGTGAGGTCAGGCACTGATGTCAGACAAGAAGGCCTGGCTCACAGACTCTGTTCTAATTCATCCCAAAGGTGTTTTATTGGGTTGAGGTCAGGACTCTGTGCAGGCCAGTCAAGTTCCTCCACCCCAAACTCACTCATCCATGTCCTTATGGACCTTGCTTTGTGCACTGGTGTGCAGTCAAGTTGGAACAGGAAGGGGCCATCCCCAAACTGTTCCCACAAAGTTGGGAGCATGAAATTGTCCAAAATGTCTTGGTATGCTGATGCCTTAAGAGTTCCCTTCACTGAAACTAAGGGGCCAAGCCCAGCCCCTGAAAAACAACCCCACACCATAACCCCCCAGCACCAAACTTTACATTTGGCACAATGCAGTTAAGCAAGTACTGTTCTCCTTGCAACCGCCATACCTAGACATGTCCATCGGATTGCCAGACAGAGAAACATGATTCATCACACCTGAGAACATGTCTCCACTGCTCTAGAGTCCAGTGGCGGTGTGCTTTACACCACTGCATCCGAAGATTTGCATTGCACTTGGTGATGTAAGGCTTAGATGCAGCTGCTTGGCCATGGAATCCCATTCCATGAAGATCTCCACGCACTGTTGTGCTAATCTGAAGGCCATATGAAGTTTGGAGGTCTTTAGCTATTTACTCTGCAAACAGTTGACGACTTCTGTGCACTGTGCGCTTCAGCATGCGCTGACCCAGCTCTGTCATTTCACATGGCCTACATCTTTGTGGCTGAGTTGCTGTTGTTCCCAGTTGCTGCCACTTTGTTATAATACCACTCAGGGGCGGACTGACAACTCATGGGGCCCCCGGGCAATAGGGGATCATGGGGCCCCTGTGTCCTTGCCCAAACTCAAAAAAGCCTATGAAAAAGGTACCAGGGGAATCTCATGGGGCCCCCTACTGACCCTGGGCCCTCGGCAGTGCCCGAGTTTCCAAATGGTCAGTCTGCCCCTGATACCACTAACAGTTGACCGTAGCAAGGAAATTTTGCGGATGGACTTATTGCACAGGTGGCAACCTATCACGGTACCACGCTTGAATTCACTGAGCTCCTGAGAGTGACCCATTCTTTCACAAATGTTTGTAGAAGCAGTTGGCATTCCTAGGTGCTTGATTTTATACACCTGTGGCCATGGAGGTGATTGGAACATCTGAATCCAATGATTTGGATGGGTGTCCCAATATGCTTGGCAATATAGTGTGTGTATGTAAACCAGCAAGTAGAATTGTCTGTTAGCTAAAAACTTTGCCATACATGTGAATTGTGCATGTGGTTGTATGGGTCAACATTGCTTAGAACCTTCTTTAACTTATGGTTAATAGTGGTGGCAGATATAGTGGTTATTTATTTGTGTTTGGATTTTTGTGCAACAGTTTCGTATAAGGATTTTTACTAATAATTAAATATTGAAATTTTGTGGTAAATACTGTAGAAACCATTTGTTCTCCTTAGTGTTTAATACTTCAGTTTTTGCTAATTATATGAAAGGTTGACAGTGTTGCAATGCATGTAACTAAATATGGGCATTTAAAACAGTTAAGGTTTTTTATTACTTCTTTATTTAATTTAAATATTTAAGTATGCTTGTTATAATCCAAATGAATGCAACAATTAGTTTACACTTACGTCTGAGGGGCAATAAAACTAGGTGGTTGAGCCCCCCCCCCCCCCCCTCATTCTGAAAAGGAGATCTGGAGCATTCAGAAGTGCCATCTGTCCTAGAATGCTGGGCATGCCTGAATCAGATTACATTTTATACATCTCTTAAAGTGATGTAAACCCTTACATATACCCAGTGAAATGAGTGGCTTCAGGGTATACACAGAGATTAAACAAATCCTCCTACATAAGTTGTATCTGTTTATCTATAGCCCTCTTTCCCCTACATCCATTCAAAGTGCATAATTTACACAGGATCTATCAGCTATAAAATGCAGGGGGTGGGGAGCTGAGGTAACATCAGTGAGAAGAGCTCTGAGAGCTGATTGGAGGGAAGGGACACACCCCCTTTCACACAGCTCACAGGAACAGAGCTGAGGCTCTCAATCTGTTAGAGGTCCCTCCCCTGTCACCATTTTTCTCTTGGTGTCAGGAAAACTTGTCAGTAGTGATTCATGCTGATAGCAGAGGAATGAGGCAGCAGACAGCAATGACACTTTATATCAGCAGGAATCTTTTGATTCCTACTGTGGCTTTGAATAGTTAGGTGTGGCCGCTGGCCCTATTCACGCTAATGATAGGTTTCCGGCAGACACAGCGTTTTGTGGCTCCTTTCACAGCCAGCAGTTACCTGAGGTGATCCCTGCTGGACACACTTTGTGAGGTGCAATCCGGTGATATGCATGCGTCATCAGGGGCACCAGGAGTGCAACATAATTTTTGACTAGGCAAGAAAGGAGGAAGTGCTGTGATTCAGGACAAAAAAGTCAGTAACACATTACAAAAGACATTTTTAACTACTGCTGGGCACTGTCACCCCCTTCCTACACAGCCCATTTTTCAGCTTTTAGTTCTGTCACACTTGTAATGACATTTGCGCAGTCATGCAGTAATGTACCTAAATGAAATTGTTATAATTTTTTTGAGACAGATAGAGCTTTCTTTTGGTGGTAATTAATCATGACTGGGTTTTTTTTTATTTTTTGATAAACAAATTTAAAAAAAGCAAAAAAAGGAATAATTTTTCTCCTTCACTGATTCACACTGATAGGCTGCTCTGATGGTCACTGATAGGCTGTACTGATAGACCCTGATGATGCACTGATGAGGCGGCACTGATAGGTGGCACTGAGAGGCAGCACTGATGGGCAATGATGAGACTGCACTGATATGCGACACTGATGGGCACTGGTGAGGAGACACTGATAGGCAGCCCTCATGGGCACTGATGAGGTTGCACTGATAGGTACTGTTGAGGTGGCACTGATGGGCACTGATAAGGCTGCACTAATATGCGGCACTGATAGGCGGCACTGATAGGTGGGACTGATGAGGAGGCACTGATGGCAGCACTGCTGGGGCTGCACTAATTATCAGGACACTAATCAGTGCCCTGATTATCAGTGTAAATGTCCCCTGTCACGCTTGTCTCTCATCTCCTCACGCTGTAACAGCAAGTGAGGAAAGGAATGTCAATAACCAGCAAGTGTGTTACATGTGATCAGCTGTGATTGGAAACAGCGATCACAGAGCTCGCCGGATGCGTGCAGTGGGTGGCATGGTTCTAGTAGGACGTCTATGGATGCCCTCCCAGAATTGGATGACCGTGCTGTAGTACGCTGACGACCATCGTTCTGCTTTAGCGTGGTCAAGAAGAGGTTAATCCAATATTGGGGAAGGTGACGTTTACTGGGTGAAGAAGGTCCACTTTAAGATTGTTTAAAGCCAAGGAAATCTGTTTTATATGTGTATCTAAAATGCATTAAAATGACCATCCAATCTATTTAAACGGATATCTTTCACATGTATTATAGTTCCTTTTTCAAAATGGTATTTTACAATCCAGTTCCATTAATATACTATGCCATTGTACCATGCTGTGCTAATCCAAGGCAGTATAATAAATTAATAAAGTTTGAAAAACCACTTTAAGGGCAAAGTGCTTCTGAAAATGATGATATCATGTTGGCTACTATGCCGGTTAATATAGATTACAGTTTTATCAGGTTAATATATTTCTTTTTTTTTTTTTTGTTTGAGGTCAAAAGTTGCAGTTCTGTCACTGTATGCAAGTTCATTGTGCTAAATTGTTCAGCCTTACAATGTGGCATGAAAAGGTGTAGAAATCTAATTAATACAAACAGAAGAGGTGGAACCACACCTATCATGCGATTACTTTTATCTTTTACACACAATGTGCTGTAATTGAGTGTACTGTAATCACAAATATTGTAAGCTCTAATGAGCAGGGCCCTTTGATTCCTCCTGTAATAAATTGTATTGTAATTGTATTGTCTGCCTTTATGCCTAGTACCTACTATCAGAAAATTGTACGAAAAAATACAGGTGTTGAATCGATTTCACGATAATCTAATTGTTAGTACACAGCTTTCATTCGAAATTATTTGAAGGGACAAGCACGAAAATGTTCTCGGACAATACCAGATTGTACGATTTTCATTTAATCAGTACAGTTTTTGTCCGAAAAAACAATAAAAATACATTACATCACTTCCGAATTTTCTTTCTGTCATACAAGAATTTTCCTATCTTTAGTAAGTTTTTCACTTTCGATATGAGACTAGGATGCAAAAAAAAAAAATGGACGATCATTCGTCCAGTATTCTCATTGTGTGTACTGTATGTACAGGGCCTTATGTTGTAAAGCGCTGCGTAAACTGTTGGTGCTATATAAATCCTGTATAATAATAATAACTATGTAACTATCATTGGTTCTCATCCTACCTATCCCACTGCACCTTCAGTACCACTCACAATTCCACTTCCTCCTCTCCTCTGCCTTTCTACGTCGGGATCCCCCAAGGTTCTATTGTCGGACTTCTCCTATTCTCAATCTACACCTCCTTCCTGGGTCAGCTGATACCTCCCATAGCTTTCAATATAATTTCTATGCTGATGACACCCAAATCTGTCTCTCTACCCCTCAGCTCACAATATCAGTCTCCTCATGCATCACTAATTTGCTCACCGACATATCGGTCTGGATGTTACATTACTTCCTCAAACTCAATCTATCCAAAAACCACTTGCCTACTGGGCACTTTTACCCCCTTTGTGCCCAGGCCAATTTTTAGCTTTCAGTGCTGTCACAGTTTGACAATTGCGTGGTCATGCAACATTGTACCCATATGAAATTTTATAATTTTTTCCCACATAAATAGAGCTTTCTTTTGCTGCTATGTTATTGCCACTGGGTGTTTTACTTTTTGCACTATAAACAAAAAAAGAGCTAAAAATTTGAAAAAAAAAGTTTTTCTTTGTTTCTATTATAAAATTTTGCAAAGAGGTAATTTTTGTCCTTCACTGATGTGCGTTGATGAGGTGTCACTGATAGGCAGCTGTCAGGGCTCCCGGGTATGACCAGAGGTGTGTGACTGACGCAGGGAAACGCAGACTTCAGATATGTGATAAACAATATAATTTATTAACACTAACAATACAAACATAAACGCAGTGCAATACTAAAACATAACACAGTGCAAACAAACCAAACCAACCACCCACAGATAACAGTGCATACAATGCAAGCGTCGTCAGGCAGGCCGGGTCAATATCAGTCGGGCAGGTAGGTACAGGGGGAGCAAGCGGAGAATGGTCGGGGTCACAAGCCAGGTTCAGCAGGTAGCAGACAGCGAGGTACAGAGGGTCAGGCAGGGGGATGGTCAGTAACGAGCCGGGGTCAGAGCAGGAGAAGTCAGCAGAGGTCAGATCAGGCAGGGTCAGCAAAGGAACAGAAACAGGATGCAGGAACAGAAACAGGATACAGGGCCCAGGACAAATACACACCAAGGCAGAGTCTGTGGGTCTGGCCATCCCTTAAATACCCCAGCATAATCAGTTCCAGGTGTTAGCTGGCTGCAAAGTTGAGTCTCTGATTGCTGGGAGCACCCGCTGGCCAGCCCTGGTACTGCAGATCAAAAGGCAGGTGAGTCCCACCATTGCTGGCCAGTCCATTCCTGACAGCAGCACTGATGGCCACTGATAGGTAGCACTGATGGGCACTGATGAGGTGGCATGGATAGGCAGCACTGATGGGCAATGATAGGCTATACTGATAAAGTGGCACTGATGAGGCGGCACTGGTGGGCATTGATGAGGCGGCACTGATGATACTGCCCTGATATGCAGCAATGATGGGCACTGATAAGCGGCACTCATGGGCACTGATAGGCGGTACTGCTGGGGCGGCGCTGACTGACAGCACTGACTGACAGTACGGACTAGTGGCATTGACTGGCAGCATTGATGGGTGGCACTGATGGCTGCAACTGCTGGGTGGCACTGCTGGGCAGCACTGATGGGTGGCACTGTTGGGCTCTTATGGGTGGCACTGCTGGGCCCTGATGGGTGGCACTGCTGGGAACTGGTGGGAGGCACTGCTGGGCACTGGTGGGTGGCACCGCTGGGTGGCACTTCTGGGCACTGATCATCAGA